TTCAATACTTGTTAAAAGTAAATGTACATTGTCTTTTATAGAGTAGATGCATTGCTAATGAAAAATTATATTTACAAAGAGAATGATGAAAAAATTATTTTAATAACAAAATTCTTTATTAAATATTCATTTAAAAATATTAATTTATTTTTTTAAATTAATTATTGAATGACATCAGCTGTGTAAAATTATAATTTCTCTAATCTTTAAGAGATTTTTTATTTTCTTTTTGTTGATTTTAATTTTAATAAATATTTTTACTTTGTACAATTCTACTCGTATATAATTATTGTTTTATACAATAATTAACTGTTTACTGTATAGGGGTCAGCATATCTATATGAGATTGTCATGCAATAATTATAATGGATATATGTATGTTTATAAGTATATCATCCGTATTTGTTGAATATTATGGATAGAGTGTGTGTGCGTTTGTGTGTATATTTAAATAAAATACAAACCACAGATCGACCAACCTTGGCCCATTTAATGTAAATATTTAAAATATTTTTCTTTTGTTTTTGTTTTTTTTTTGTATTTTTTTTATTATTTATTTGATTTTTTTTTTCTGTTTTTATTTTGTTTCATTCTTTTCAATTTTAACGAATTTTTTCTTTGTTTTTTGCTTTTTTTTTTGCTTGTTTTTATATTTTATACGATATTATTGTGGATTTAACGTAAATAAGGACTTATTTTTTATAAATAATAACTTTCACGCTCTACATTAAATTTAATATTTTCGTTATTGTGTTGTACATGTACCGTTATTGTTGTTGCTGTTGCTGTTTTTTATTTTCTCGCTGATGAAAATTTATTAATATAGGGAAAGAAAAATAAAAATTGAAAATAAAAAGCAAAAATAAATAATAACAAACAAAACAATGAAAATCATCAGTGCAAAAAAATGTAAAAAGGCAAAAAAAAAAAAAAATAAAAACAAAAAATATTTACATTGTCATTATAAACCGTTCATAGGCATGATAACCTTCCATTGTTGAGTTTTTCTTCCTTGATTTTTTGTTTTTTTTTTTTTTAATTTTTCGATTTTTTGATATTATGTATATACATTCATACAACGTCATATATATATATAAGGATATTGTCAGCAATGCGTCCAAGTCTATCAAATAAATGAAGGAACAAAAAACAAAAGAAAAAAATTCTCATTAAAAGTAAAAACAACAATCGTTTTTCTTCCTTCCATATTGTTTTATTGTTCTACGTATAACTAATACATTAACAAATTATTATTCACCACAAACACACATATACCTACATATCCATATATACATATTCTATTATTCATATGATTATTATTTTCCTCTTACATTTCATAAATTTAAAAAAGCATAAATAAAATTCAGCCGATCCATTTAGAAGGACTCAAGTGTAAAAAAAAAAAAAACAAAAAAAAATTTGTGTTTATTTTTTTTTTTGAAAAAATAAATTTCATCCTTTTGTTAATATTTTTTCTACATCAAAAATATTGTGCAGTAAAACACACATACTACTTATACGAAACAATAACTGTAATAGAAGAACAATGAACGAAAAATTGGTTTAGAGACGACACACAACAATTATGATTTAAAAAAAAATTTTGAAAAATAAAATTCAAGGTTTTCAACATCTTCATGGTATTCTATGCATTATTTGTGTACATGTGAGCGTGTGTGCGCGCTTAGTTAACTTAATTAATATAAAAACAAAAATATCTAGTGTAAAAATATTTTTGCATCAATAAACTAACAATAATAAAATGTGAAAATTGAGTACTTTAATTAGAATTTTGTTATTTTCACATAATAATGGTGTTGTAATGATTGGATGCACAAAAGTAAATTTTTTAGCGAAAACTTTCTGGTAATTTGAATTTGAACATCAATAAAAAACAAATTATCAATTATTATAAAAAAAAGAAACCAAAATAAATTCATTCAAATATGAAAATTTTTCATGGGCTTATCACCATTCAAAAATCCTTATATATTTTGTATTTAATTAAGGTTCACTCTTAACTTTTTAAAATTATAGTTGCTCTAATATTATATTGTTTTAAATGAACTTCTTTAGGTTTATTGGAATTTGGTTATGATTAAGTGTTGGAAGGAGACTTGTAGGTTGGTTGATTGACGTGGCTAATTAGCAAAAATGTGTATTTTTGCTATCAACGGGCTGTCACCAGGTCGTCATTGAGTGTATAACTACAATATTTAAATATTCATTTGTAGCAAGAAATCTTTTCTGGATCAGATGTGTAAAGTACATCAGGAAAATTTTTTTATAAAAAGTTGTTTCTCTTCCGTTGAAACTTAATACAAGATTCTTCAAAATTTTTGGAACATTTGTAGAGCTTTAACTGGGATGTTAGTAATAAAAAATTGGATTTTCAAGCTTTCTATTCAGCAAGTTATATTGCAGTGCAGTATAACTTCGTTGCTATTTAATGATGAATATCTTGAGTAACAAGTCAAAACAAACTGAAAGGATACAGTTGTAGTAAAATTTGCAGAATTAAAAATAGTTAAAGCTATGTTAAAAATCTTTCCAGAATTGAATTTCTTTCCCTTCTATAATATATGACGGATATAGGTAGTTTTCATCACGCAATCACAGAAACATTTTTAATTCCCTGAAGACCCCTGTTTTCAATAACATTTTGCTATTACTTCAATACTTCTTCGAACTGAAAAATAGTCCCTCTGATTTATTTAAGCTGCGATTTCATATTTCATACCAAATATATCCCATAGTCATTATCAATCAACACTCATTTCCCTTTTCAATTTATTCCTGATATTGTTACATACACACATTTTTGCTTCTTTTTGTGTTTCCTGCTGAGTTTTTTCCTTTTAATTTTTTTCATTTTTTTTTGTGGATTTTTTCATTAAAAATACAAATTAATTAAAAAGAATTAAAATCACTGAATAGTACAGAGAGAATCATTGGTCAAAGCATTAAGTTCACAGTACATACATTGATACATATATACAATAGCACAAGTCCAAATTTGTGTAAAATCAAAAAGTTCTTTGTGAACTTAGAAACCAAGTATGAAAAAAAGGCAATTTTTTCTCTGCAATTCTTTTTTGATTCTCTTGGATGTGATCCATAAAAATTGTTTATTTTTTTTTTCTTGTATTCAAATTAATTTATTATCAAATAACTGTAAAATCATTTATGATTTCTGTTATATACACAACAGTAATAATAATTACAACAATAACAAAAAAAATTTATAGCATAATTTTATACAATTTTAGTTTGTTTCAAGACCACCAGAGCTATAGATAAAAATTTTATTTTATATTTTTGTTGTTTTTTGTTGCATTTTTTGTGTTTTTTGTGAAAACATTTATGTGTCCTGATAAAATATTAGAGTTTATGAAATTTATTGTTGACATATTTCAATGTTTCATACAGATAAATTATTTGAATCAAAATATTTTATAAAGTTATTTTACATACACATACACACAGTACACGTATACGATTTTTTTTTGTGCGAAACATAAATTACTTAAAAATGTTTTAGTTTCGCTTTTTAATAAAAATTTATGCATATTTTATAGTCATTTTCTGGTGAATGAATAGAAAAATCACAAATAAAATTTAAAGAGGGAGGAGAGGATTAATTGAGGGAAAATTGAAAAGATTCGCAAAATTGGTTTGAATGAATCCAAATTAAAAAATTTAATGTGATCATCATATATTCGAGCGCAACGTGTACTGTCTAGTTTAGCGAAAGTGTTGCAGTAAATTATTAAAATATCTTTTAAACACTTTTTTCTAATTTCGAGGCCGCTAAGCTGTTGGCTGATATACCTAGAAAAATGTAAATGTGGTTCTTAGAAGAGTTTTGCTTTATGCTATCCGAATGCCCTGAAAATCCTATTCCGTCAACTAGTTTCGGTGGCAAACAGAATTGAAATATTAAATTTCAAGAAATTTTGTCAATATCTTTCGCACATATAGTCGGCACAAATCGGCCGCTGGTTCGGTTTCCAAGCCATAATATTCTCAAAAAAGTTACAAGTTCATTGCTTTAACATCCTAAATTCAAATATTAAATGTCAAGGAAATTGGTTGAGTATTTCTGTTTAAATGTTCAAAAATGCAAAACCGGTCCGTAACAAGGTCTATTTTCCGATACCTGATATATATTAAAAGTTGGTCAATTGGTGAAACAGCAGAAATAAAATTACAAAATTGGTTCAGCTGAACTTGGGATACACGCGTTCACAGACAGAGTGACATCTCTCTAAATATGATTTATTTATGCTCTCCTACCATGGAGAAGTGTGTTTCCATCGAAACCTCTTAGTTGAATATAATTTTGCGATAAAACATAGAAATAGTTTTTAACTCTAATCGAATATGATAATTGCTATAGTTCCTGCATTAGTCAGATTTTATATTTACATTTTAGGAAACGAGTGTTGTACACAATTTTCTGTGTAGTGGACGGAAAGAGCACCAATTTTCGTGATGGCGGTGTAATTAAATCCTATCTCCTTCTACGTTTTTGCTATGGTGGTGTTATTCCCTTTAGCACGTCCATATAGTAATATGCACATTTCTTCAAATTGTACGCATTACAGTCGACAGATGGCTTGCTTAAATACACGATTATAGTATATGCTATCAAAATCAAGTAGTTATCGACTGATTTGAAATTGAATTTGGACAAATCCTACCTTTGGTATGCTTCAAAAAGAACGTAGTATGCCTTCATGTTTGGCAGTTAACCTTGTCGTAACTGCGATAAGTTTCTATGTTGATCCTGCAAATATAAACTGAAGTAGCTAAATGCTTTAAGAAATTTATAGCTGAGACTGTATAATCTGAAAAATAAAGCGTTATTTTAGTGAAGCAACCGATCTTGTGACACTTAATGTCTCTAAACTATTGTATTTGCATGTCATTGAATTTGCTATAAAATCTTCACGAATTTTTATTAATGCAAAATTTTGTTTTTTTGTTTTTTTTTTCAGCTCTCATAGTTCGATTTATTTCCAAACGGTATATAGGGGAATATGATCATCAAGGAGGTAAGTAAAAGCCTATAATTTAATTTGTAAACAAAAATGTTACTTTTATACAGAAATTATTTTATACGTACATACATGAACTTCTTTTGAATTCTAATATTGCAAAAGTTAAAGAGGCAAGAAAAAGCAATTTAATTTGTTCTTGCAAAAATTTTTTTATTAATTGTTTACTTTATGCTATTTATAAACTTCCTATGTTATAGGGATCCTTTGGTTTACATAAAAAATACTATAATTTATGTTTGCGTGTGTTTATGAAATGGGCTCACTAAATTAAAATCAATTCTTTTTCTTTTATTCATAAAATTTTAGAAAGTCGAGCTAAACATGAAGCGATGATAGATAATGAGCCTGTGATGTTCGAAATTCTTGATACCTGTCCGAAGGTGAGTATTTGCTGTATAATAAATTCGCATTTCGTAATTTACTATTTTTTCATTCTCGCCGCACAAATTTCCGCGATATAGAACGTGGTATTCCAAGCCGGATATAATTGAAAGCCTCACTAGCAATTCGGTAATTTTATTTACCACATATAATGCAATTTTTTAGGTTTGTCACTTACAAAATACAACAATATTTCATGAATGCACCATTTAAAATGTAACCTGAAACACCGAGGTCCATTAATTTGTGCGATTCCGAAAAAACGTGTCACAGACTTTGAAGCACAGTTGTGAAGTTAAAGAGCCCGTCGAATCACTTCGTGTACACATAAAATTTCAATTGAAATTATAGAAATGCTATTTGGTAACTCTGTTTTTACTATAACCCAGTCACGGTTAGAACAGTGTTGACGAGAATGAAGAAATTCATTCAAAAAAAGAACCTAAATTTTTATTTCAAAAATAAAATGAGTTTCCAATAGTTTTAAAGGCATTCGTCTTGGTTTATTTACAAAATTCCTTTTTACGTCAATCACTTGATTTCTCTCATAACTTTCTCAATGTAAAATTTTCACATATATAGGAAAAATATTTCATATACACTCTTGTCTAACTACTCAAAAAACTTCATTTCTCTCATTTTATTTTTGTATTTTACCTATATTTCCTTTAAAGTATCCTTTTAGTTTTTAATGTGTACACAATATTGTAAACAATTTATTTTAATATGGTGCATATTATTCTTGTATATACCTATATATGTGTGTCAAAATGAATAACATAAAATCTATGAAGTATACACGTATGTATACATAGATGGAGTCAGAAAAACTAGGATTTTTATCATAAAATTCTTTTGTATTTCTACATTAAAAGAATTTGCGTACACAACCACATATACATACATACATTTAAATATTAAATTTAATATTTTTTCTTAATTTTCTCCTTTATGTTTTTTAGGATAAAGATGATTTTCCCAATGCATCAGATTTAATACAATGGGCGGATGGTTTACTTTTAGTTTACTCAATTACCGATAGGCATTCATTTAATTATATAAGAAAAGTAAAATCAGATTTTAGTTCTGATTTACCAGTTGTTCTTTGTGCCAATAAAGTTGATATGGTCCATCTACGTCAAGTGAGTACTGAGGAAGGTGAAATATTGGCAAAAGATTTTGAATGTAAATTTAGTGAAGTATCAGCTGCTGAACATGTTGGCCAAGTTGCAGAAGTATTTCATGATCTTTGTAAGGATATTTTATCATCAAAACGTAAATCAAAACAAAGTATATTGGAAAGAGTTGAAAGGATATTAGGTGGTGGAACAAAACCTTACAGTAGAGGCAAAAGTGATAGCGCTTTGCCAAAAGACTGATTGATGGTTTAAGTTTTTTTTTTTTTTTAAAAAAATTTTCATTTCTTTTCCTATTCATTTGCTTTTTGTTTTTTACTTTGATGTTATACATATAACACATATATACAAACATACATATAAATAATTTATTTATTTATTTATTTATTTATTTTATTTATGGTTCTTATTTTTGCTATTCATTTAAAATAATAAAATTTTTAGAATTAAAACAAAATAAAATAAAAATTAAATTTGTAATTATTATCGCAAATTGTAATTTTTTTTTTTGGGAAAATTTCAAATTTCATTTTATTCCTTGTGAAAATCAGGATTTATAAAATATTTATGAACATAATTATGTGTTAAAATTTATTTATATATGAAAAAAATAATTGTAATTTAAAAAAAAATAATTAAAATAATTTATTTATAAATTAAAGTTTTTTTTTATATTTATTAGTAAGGTTTTGGAAATTTATTTAAAATTTTAAATTGCATGGAAATTAGATGAAAAATTTAATATTAAGGGTATGAAAGACATTTTAAATTCTATAAATTTTTATTGTGTTTCAGTAAAAAAATAAGGTTTAGTATAAGCCAACGAACCTACTTAGATCATGTTTGGATACGACACAGAGTTAATAAAATTGGTAAATCGAGCTCTAAACCATGCACAAATCTTTTTTTCCAGCTCAAAATTTTGATTGTCCGTTGTGGTGTTCCTGAATTTCTCAAACAGTGTCACAAAATGAAAAATGTGTTTTAATCGCTTTGAATAAATGTAGGAACGTTTTATGATTCATACATCAAGGTTGAACAGAAGTACTTTACTAGAAAGCGAGACAAAATAGAATTGATCATGTTAAGTAAGTGATACGTATGTACGAAATTGTAGGACAGCTGGTTAAAGTACAATTTCGATCAAGTTCGTATTACATAGGGTTCTGATATTGACTATCATAAACACTTTATATAAATTTGATCTAACTTTATTGATTTTTAAGATATTGAAGATAAGAATATATTTGTATGCATGTCTATATCCTAGACTGTTATTTTTAAAGTTACTACAAGCGGAGTGACGAATTTATAATAACCTTCGAACATATTTTCGACGTTAGATAACAGTTGCCATAATACCACATTAATTTATGCAAAATTTCAATAATGAAGTTTCAATAATTTTTCAGAAATTATCAAACTTTACTACGGGAGTTGTACGGCCGCTAACCCAAATCGTTGCATCGAACACATCCAACTAACTTCTTTAAACATATAACTCTTAACACAGCTAAAAGTATTTGCTAGTATTTAATACTTTGGAAATAAGTGAGAACCTGCTATTGGTATTAATTACTTCTTCCATTGTTTCCATTGTTCCATTAACCATTAAAATTTTTTGTTACATACAATTTGAATTTTTAAATAAAATACATGAAAATGAATAAAATTATTCAATTTTTTTTCCTATTTTAAATTTATTTATAGATTTAAATTCTAGATATTGTGATTACAAAATATTAAAAAATCCATTCCGATACATACATACATACATATATGTACATAAATCAACTTTATCAGATGTTTTTACACATGCTGCTGATTAGAATCCGATTTAGTAACGACATCACGTCAAACGAAGTGATTTGAAAACTTTTTCGTTTCCTAAAAATAGCTTTATTCATTTACATACATACATACTAAAAATATAAACATATGAGTATATGTAAGCAATTTTCATGTTTAAATTTTTAACATAAAAGTTTTCTCAATTCTCAATCATGTTTAATAAAAAATTAGAAGAAAAAATTGGGATAAAAAAAAATCTGTATAACAAATAACCTACATTTTTCTCTTTTTCTCTTTTAATTATGAATTCGAAAATAATAAAATTCTCTTAAAACAAAAAGTAATTTTAGTACTAAATTTCAATTTTTTTTTTAGTGCACAAAGCTTTCACAAAGCGCATGGAAAGTAAATGAAATTCTGTTATACTCTCTGTATGGTACATAAAAAAAATGTTACTGAAAATGTTATACAAAATGTTATGGTTAGTAAAATTCATTCAGTTTGCACTTGACTTTTTATCAAAGTTGAATTGTTAAAGACCCGATAAATGTATGTAAAAAATCTTATTCCTTGGTATTTAACGGTGAACTTAATTTGTTGTTTTTCTTTGGCATCTGATGCCTTCTCAGAAATAAAAATTTTATCCTTTTCTGATGTTTTGAATTATGTTTTATGTTTTAATTTGAATATGTTACGAGTCAGGTATGTGTACCATGTGCAAATATTAAAAGAGGGAGGGAGCATAGGAAAAGGGAACGTGAGTACTGAAACTCTCAGGTTTTTTAACAATACTTTTCATTGTATAGTATATAAGATATTGCTAGATTTAAGATCAATAAAATATTACTCAAAATTTTAAATTAAAATTTCGAAGATTACAATAAATACCCTACTCAACTAAAATTCCAATTTGCGTTTATAAAACTGTTCAATTGTTCGCAAATAATATGATACAATCAAATTTCTTGACTTGTACTTTATCTTTAAATAAGACAAAGATTAAAGTGAAAAGCAAAATTTGTGATGTAGTCTTTAAGCTCGTATAAAATACCTAATAAATATTGCCTTTTGTTATTTGGAAACGTTTGTCTTAACTGTTTGTTCTCCTATACAAAAATTTATAAAATATAATTTAAATTATTAATTCCAGAGAATTCATAAATTTTGCATAATTTTAGGGGTACGTGCTTTTAACAAAGAACTACTGAAAGGCTACCTTACGAGATTTTTTTCTTTCTATGTATAGAAACTTTGAATTGGAACATTTCCGCACCAGAATATTATAAAGATTTTTCAAGTTCATATTTGAGAAATGAGTGACTAAGGCTATGTATCGAAGTGCAAAAATCTTGTATTAAAGTTGTACTTTTCGTAAAATATTGTTTTATAGATTGAAAAGAGGAAAATTTTCAATACTAATCCCATGTTATAAAGTAATAGTTCATTAAATAGATTGTGTTAAATCAAATAAGAAGCCATTTCGGATCTTAAAAGGATTTGATCATATTCAAACACATAAAATTTCTATATACAAATTAATTATGTCGTTAATTTATAATTGTTTTTTCTTTCTCCTCCTGCTTCTTCTTCTTCTCGCCATTTTTATATTTTCTTTAATAAACAAAAAAGGATAATGATATTATTTTTTTTTATATATACTTATGAATATACACACGCATATACATACATACAATCTATATTAATTTCGGCTCTCTTCTTGTCTCCGTTCTTAATTTTTCTTTGTTTTTTTTCCTTTTGTCGTTATTCTTAAATTATCCTTTCTTATGCATGTCGTCCTCATAATTACAAGAAATGTTAATATTAAAATTTTTAAATATAAAAAAGAAAAAAGGAATGAGATGAAAAAAAAAAACCAAGATGAAGAAACTTTTATGTTTTTTTTTCTGACAACTTTTTTCCTAAATAATTAATTATATTGGAGTTTAACTGTTACCGCGCTGCCACCATTTCTTTATATGTATACCACTTCTATTGTTTGGTCTAATATAATTACTGCAAGGGAAAATTTTCGCGGTTCTTTTTCTTTTTTTTCTTATTCTATGAATTGTTGTTTATATTGTTGTTTTATTGTTATTCTTAAGTTTCTAAAAATCATGATACAATTTGACATTGAGTAACGCGTCAAGTGTTTCTATGTACAATATACAAAATATTTTATTGTTATTTTGTAAATTGCACACCAACATATATAAACAAAATGTATAGGAACAAGGCATATAGATTTTTATCGAATTAAAGAAAAACTCATTAATTTTGGGAAAATTTTTGGAATAAAATTTTTTAAATTTTTTTCTTCTTTTCGTTGATGAATTTTTCTTAATTCTGTCAGTGTTTTTGTGTGTGTGTTTTTTTTATTTTTAGAAAATTATTTTTTGTGAATTTGCACCATTCGATTATTATATTGGAACTTTTACGTTTATTATGTACTTTTGTACTAATTAAATAAACCTCAATTTGTTTAAGAATTGTTCAGAAATTGTCCAGGCATAACCATTTATGTTACAATAGCACAATTACGAGTATTGTGGATTGCAATCGCTGTGTTATTAAACTGTGGAGCTCATATATTTATGAAGTCCTTTAAAAAGTTTTCAGGAAATGATTGGAATAACAAAGAATATTATAATTCGTTACTTAACAATTTTATTGTTCAATAACAAAAATATACAAGTTATTATATTGTGTATAATTTTGCGCCTTTAAATATGCTATTTAGGTTTTAGATTTTATGCATTCAAATTAGTTATATAATGTTATATTATAAATTTTTTATTATACATACCATATTTTTATTTGTATACCGGAAATGTCTGGAAACCGACAATTTTTTATAAAGGTTTTTGTATCACAAAAACAGGATACTTCAATAAATTATTTCATAAATTTTATAATAAATTTAAAAAAAATAGGAAAAAGGAAAAATATTGCTTTTATATGCTTTCAATCATAGTCGTGATATTTTATTTTAATGGACGGTGTGAGAAGGTTTCCTATGTATTGTGTAATTATTTTTGTTATATTAAAGTATAAACGTAGTAGCAAATCCAGGCAGCATTTAACGTTGAGCTAAGGATGGTGGATTTTCATTCGAAAATTATTTGAAACTTTAAAAATTTATTTGTTCTGTAATAGGTTGTTTATTTGTTTTGGATGAATTAATCGATTTTGCATTTCACATAGCACTCCAGCCAACAGATTTAACTGTTTCAGTTTTAGTTTTGAATATCAAACATTGTTAACGGGAATTTTATTTGATGAGAGTAAGATGGCATCTGATTTTTTTCTCCAAAGAATTGAACGCATGTAATCCAATCCAATGAAATCCGAAACGAATAATGTTTGATAAGTTAGTCCACTAATTACGATTTATAAATTACAATTATCCCCAATACTCCCGTTCCAAAATAATTTTAACGGGTTTTAATAGCGACTGCGGAATAAATTTTATGCAGCGTATTGAAAGTAGCGTGCTTGAAAGCTTTACATTTCATTTCACATCCTCTCTTTCCTTTACTGTAAAATTTGTCTCTTTGAATGTTTGCATTTGAATTA